ATTCTGAGAACCGAATAAATTTGACTAGAATTTCCTCAGATTTGTACTCGATTCCCTCCACGGATCAATCACTTCTACAGTTATTCGCCACTTGCCAATGAAGACACTGATAGAAGGCATGTCTCACATCAGTGCTCATTATTGACGATTATTTGCTGTAGTGAATCAGAATTCTCTGTTTTCTTCACGTTATATACCTCCTCGTCTTTCCGCAATGCTCATCATCACTTCAAATTGTCATTATCATAAACATCTCAATGTATCTCATCAGCACTGCTTCCAAAATTCATCACAAATTCTGCGATTTCCAGATAAAAATTCCCATTTTCCTGATAAAAAAGGATCTCTGATGAACCTATAAAAGATTCCTTCATTGAATCTGTAGTTCATGATCAATTGCACCGAATATGACGAATTCAGTTGATCGTTACGGAGGTCATACTTTTGTTTGAGTTCCCTCATGGGATGATTTTATTCCGATCAGTCAGAAAGGATTTCAACTGAATGTTTTCTGAGTTTTTCTTTTCTTGCAATCCGTTTGGTTAAATTTGTTTCTGGATGATGAGTGTTGTGCGAATGTATAATGCATGGTTGTACCGTGTATTTCTCTCCATATATTTTGGTTCATATATCTGTCGATATTTTGGATTCAGCTCTGATTTATATTTGCTTAGTTGATACGGCTTCTAATTGCAGCTATATTGAATTGAATCAGAATCATTGTGTAATTCACAGAAACCGGTGCTCATTTACATTAGGCGATTTACTTTGTACAAATTTTAATTCAATTCCACTGAAATTTCTTCGCTTATGTGTTCCTATAAAATGTTCTTACTGAATGACTTACATAACAAACTTCAAAAAACCTGGAAACACTTTTTTTGCTTCCTCAAATTTCCATACTTAATTCATATATTGCAAGCAATCAGTCATTGACTCAATAATTGTATTTCTGTTTGACTGACTTTTGTTAAAATTTTATGCTGGCTTTATAACGGACTGCCAACTGGGTAACTACTGTGCTACAGCGTTGCTTCTAAACATTCACCTAGTTGTTCAGCCCCTCCTTGTAAGACAATGAATTCTAAAACAATCTTCTTGGTTCCGTTACTGACTGTTGAATTTATCAAGCTGATCTTCACCTTTTTGCATCATGATAGATGGTACGAAGTGGTCACTAAAACCGTTTGACTGACAGTAGAT